AGTTACCCGTTGCTTCTGGAGGGGGCGTGCCATATAAGTAAGCTGATTAATTGCTTGCCCTTCAGTGAGATTCCCCTCAGAGCTGGATCGATCCTGCTGGTACCATAACTTTTATTCTGCACACGACCTTATGCATACCGAACGCTGGAGTGAATCATTTAAAGTAATTGAAACAGAAGTATTATTTAACTGGATTCGCTTTTTTTTTCTACAAAATATATGCTTTTGGGTGGCCCATAGATTCACACCCGCTACAACTTCTTCAAATCCTAAGCAACAATCCATTTTCAAAGAAAGAAAAACAAACTCGACAAAACGTTCTTTCATGCAACAAGAAAGTTGCATTTATTTCTATGAACATTTTACATGCACTAAGTACATGCTATCGACCACGAAATAAAATATGACAATCAATTTCAAAAAGACAAAACATAATTCTTTGAATGAATTTGGGTACACAACAAATCGAATGATTAAATCAATTTTTGAAAATATAATTACTAGTAAGATCTATTATAGAGAAAATGACTTCTTTTTTAAAACAGACTGTTTGGATGTGTCACAGATTCAAATATACTGTCTGAGCACTACAATGACCTGATTTACATATAATATTGATAACTTCCAACACATTTTAATTAAAAAATATGCAATTAAAAGAAAACTTGGGGTAAATCCCCTTGTTGAAGTATCAGATTTAATTGAATTTCATAATTTTACAAGACTAGATAAGGCACATACAGACAGTTGAAGCTACATGTTGGATGAATCTTGGACATAATAACGTTATTATGCCCAAGGATGAATCGAATAATTCTCAACAAAATCAGTCAACTCCTCCCCCCCCCCCCGACACACTCAAATAGCTCATATGAATGATTAAGAAAATGTTAAGTTTTTCCTACATTGCACCATAAGTATGGCCAGCAGGTTATTCAATCAGGGTATAAAGGAGACTACATACAGTATGTACCCGTGTCTTTTTCTTTGTCTATCTATTGTATTCACCTAGACATTTAGTTATTTGCAAAGCTATTGGTCAATCACCTTCATAGAGACTCGATCTATTTTGCTTTTTATATCTTTAATATTTTCAGTATAAACGTATGCATGCATGTGTGCTTGCGTGAGTGTGTTTGTGAGTGTGTTTGCTGTTTTTGCTAATTGATCTGTTTACAAACCAATTATGTGTATGCGTATCCTTAAAAGTACATACCCTATTCATAGATCCATTGAAAACACCGCATATTATAATCCAAATATTTATTATTATAATAATAGTAATACATTGCCCTTGTTATTCCATTGATGTTTTTTTTTTAATTGGAATCGTTATCTCTAAATGGGTCATACAAGCTTGAAATTTGCGTCACGGCAAAAATAATTTTCCATTGAAACTGAAAAAAAAAACGCACTTGTATAATTTTACATTTTTGATTTGAAATTACCCTGCCTTTTTTATAGTTTCAAAAGTAAAAACACGATATCGCAACCAACATTCACATGACATGCTGTGATCACGTACATTAACTACAAGCAGGGTCATATATCAAGTCTACAGAGCTATCACACAAAATGAGCGCTTTCAGAGGGACTCGACCTTGCCTGTTTGATATGCGATGCAGGTCCTCAGGGAGAAAAACCCATTGATTTAATTGACTAAAATATTTTTGACACGGACGTCCTTAAAATGAAGGTTTCCCCTGGCGTCGAGTCGAATGCAGACAAACTGGTGATTATACTAGTCCGCTGAAAACAAGAAGGGAGTGTCAATCTGTTAAACTTATTGCATTTAGCGAGAGGCCCCTCGGAGTTGGATCGACCTACGTAGAACGACAGTTTCATCGGGAATGGGCCCTAAGAGTTGTGTAGTTTGCGTTGACGACCTGCATTGGTTTTAAGTCGCACAGTCTCGTTTTGAGCTAAGCGAATAATTATGGAATTCACGTATACTATGTTCTTTGTGTATGTTGTAGGGACAATCTTCTGGCGCTTATATATATTACGAAGAACTCAATCTTGAGTCCATGGAACAGAAGAAAGCGGGGGAAGAGTCGGGGCTTTTGAGTGAGTTCACACAAAACGGTGCTTTCATTTTTTTTTATAATTCACTTGAAAATAGTAGCGTTGACAAAACACACGAGAGGTAAACATTTTGTTTTTAGGTTTTGTTATTGGAGTACAAAACATGGTGTTACTTTTTTGAATCAGCGCGTACACTGTGCTATTAATATTAACAAATAGATGTAAATGGCTGTTTTTGATTTAGAGTCTAGACTAGGCATCTTATTATCCGATTTACCTTGTTTTTAAGTTAATTTCCAAAGAAATGTGTTAAGATATTTGTTTTTATTTCAGGTGATATCGGAGGGCAACTGGGGTTATTCATGGGATTTAGTGCGCTCACATTTATAGAGTTTTTCGAGTACATCATTCTCAAATTTCGCAGACTGACACGCCGAAGAAAACTCCTCGAGCCGATTGGTTTAGAAGAGGGCTGTCAAGAGACATAATCTTTGATACCACATACAGACGATTGGTATTATATTATTATGGGCCACTTGTTGGCTTAATTAATAGCTGCAAAACTCACTGATTGCCAAAAGTACGCAGCAGCTAGGTTTGAGGGGCTATAACATCGATTTCGACTACATGTACCATGTACAGCGACATGTACAGCATGTGTACGCTTTTTTTCCCAGTATGTAAATACGGGTGAAAATCAGAATATTTTGAAATTCAATAATTAGTAACAGTCATTTGTGGAAGTCTTTAAGTGCTGTTACCATGGCAACCGAGGGTGATACAAACAGAAATCAATATCAATGTTGGTTTTGGCCTATAATAAGCAAAAACACCGGATTTTATCGAAATCTGAGAGGGTCTTATTCCACCCTGTTCTGGATCTTACAGAGACTACTGCTTAATTTCTTCTTCTAAAATATTAAGGTCTAACTTGTTTTTTAACAAAACGTGAAACTTGTGATCCATATTGCATCAGCCGTTGTCATTCCCGACCATAAAACCGACATCTGTATTTCCTACAGAGAAATACTATAACTGTCCTGCCAAGAAATATATTTTCGAAGAACATTCTGGTTCAGAATACGCGTTACTTCTTATATGGGCAAAACAATACGCATTTTTATTATAAAACGCAATGACACTGTGATACAGATCTGGAAAGCATATATTTTATCGGAAACTCTTCTTTCTTCAATCTGGGATAATTGGATCGTATACAATTCAAACGGTGAGTGAACTGCTAACTGTCAGGCAAATTGTTCTATACATTAATGCACACATTTACTTCTATGCATAGATTTATGTGTGAGATAATGCACTGTCACCCGAGCGATACATGCCATAACACCTCGAGCATCAGCGAGGCATATATCGAGAGAGGGTGACAGTGTATTATTTGACATACATACCGAGAAAAATTCAGTCATTTCATCCTAAAACACCCCTAAAACCGAATAAAGTGACCCTATATCACGCTCTAGAGATGTTATACTAAATAAACTCGTCCACGTGCGCTGGTCATCTCCCGCCAAATTCTTACGTAATGTCTGACCAATTTGGTCAATATTTGCTAAATACTTGTCGTGGACGTTCAACCGTCGACACTGACCATGCGCGTCTCAGCTGAGCCAAATCTAACTGGGACTGCTGCGGAAAAAAGGTCCCAAGGCAAAACCTCTACTTTCTAGTGACATTTCTGATAAAAAAGAAATATCGGACCGGAATATAGTCAAACTAATTTTTCACAAATGCAAAGGAGAAAGAAATTTACGAGTTTTCCGAGAGACGCTAGGCAGAAATGTCGAGTGAAGCGAGACATTTTTGGGTAGCGGCTCGAGGTTGCCCTCGATCTTCACTGAAGCTTGGCTAAATGGACAGGCTTCAGTGATCATCATATCGCCCCGGTCATATAACATCCCTAGGTATGTATCACCGATGAATGTACTACGTTGCATAGCATGTATTATACGTACATGTATTCACAAGCATATATTGATAATATAGTCCATCGTTCTTGTGATTATGATATTTATAATATTCAATCTAACTTTAATACATAGTCCTATTTTGTGTACATGTGTAGATTTTCTTCCGTTGTAGGCGTGTGCTCGTGAAGCATATATACTTTACAGTAGTAACGTTAACTAAATATTCTCATTGGCATGAGTTATGAAATTAAAGCCCGAAAAAGTAAATAACATATATATTAGTAAGTTGAATTCCTGGGATATTGTCCAATATATTGTAACCAACTAGAGCTGGGGAATGTGATATGCGTATCCAATTCTTGGGTTTTCTTCTTCATGCTGTCAATTTCGTAAAAATAACGATAAACCGTATTCTAACTATCATATGCCATGATTTCTGTGATTGTGAATCAGTTTAACTTTTCAACAGTTTCAATCATGTTACACATATGTGCTAATGATAAATAAATACAAAATAGAATGCATGTTTTGTGTTAAGACTGTTAACTCATCTGTTTTCTTTGGAGTCACGAGTCAGCATAGTAACATGGCAATAAACCCTTCAACTAAAACAGAGTACCACATATGTTGTATACTTCACGATATAAATAGTATCACTATTTATATCATGAAGTAGATCATAGATCATTATCTCAGCTCTCCAAACACATGATACTTCTATCCCGAATATGTATCTCCAAAACGGTTTTCATCCACTACTTGAAATAATATTTAAGAAAAATGAACTCTAGAAAAGGCAAAACATTCTGGTTTTGCGTCAAAGTTAACTTTGTTAATACAACTTTTTGTCTAATACTATATTATCTCCAGACAATATATATGACTACTCGATCTACTATTTGTTATCGAAGCTTCTTTACCGTTTTGACAGTTTAATTGCTTCAGGCGCTAGGCATGCCCAGTATGCTTCCTCCAACTCGATGTTAAACAGACCTTTTGAGAAGCTCGTAAAATAAAGATTACTTATAAATGGTGTACCGTGGTGATTCATTCTCTTCCATATATGGATAGGGGCATCTTAAGGGCCACTTGCGGAACTTGCGGTGGTTTTGTTGTCCGGTCAACGATTGGTGGAGCGTTATTTCCAGTATTAGTAGAAGCCTGCGGTTCTCTAAAACCCCTCCAGTCTTGTGAGCCCCTGTTTCCATATTGCGTGTATCCAGTCGGTTGGTAATTCTGGCTACTGAAAGCACTGTGCTGCGGTTCCACTTTGTTAACGAAGGAAGAGTCGTTGTGAGGGGTAGGTTGCGGTTTCGTAGGCCTTAGATTATTGGTAGCATAAATATTTTCTTCGTATCCTGGTATCATCGCCGTAGCTGCACCGAGGTGCAGTGTGTCCCTTCTCCGTTCTGGGTATTGGAGGTTCCTGTTCCAATAAGGCTTCGATTCTGGTGCCTGTTCCTCTGGGGCATATCTGTTATATTCCCCAGAACGTCTTACGCCAGGCGTACCATGTTCTGTAGCATTCGTTAATAGGGAATTAGGAGGGCCTGTTTGATCCACTGCAAGGTTGATGTATGTATTCCCTTTGGCCACTGTTGATACGTTTTGGTTCAGCCGGTTTGTGTCGTTTCTGAAGTTGTAATATCCATGCTGGCGAGGCACTTCATTTGGCTTAACATCCGCCTTAAATTGACCTGACGTATTGTCATTCGACACAATTCTCTTTGGGGCAGCCGGGAAGGGGTATCCTGATCTATTTGGCGGAGGGTAAGAGGCAAGAGCAGAGCCGAAGTCTGACTTAACTTTGTCTTGCTTCGCTTGATGAACATGGGGATGTGATATTTTGTCCTCGTGTGGGTGATGCCAGTAATTTCGGAATTCGTAAGGATTAACCGGATGAGAGCCGTGGATGTTGTGGCGATCTTGAACTCCATCATCACGAGGATTAGGGAAGTGTCCACCTTTAGGTTTCTTTAAGTCAGGGCAGACTATGAAAGCCGCTGCAATCACCACAATAATCAGCAGAGCCACCGCCGCAGAAGCACTACCAATGGCGATTTGTTGAACGGGAGAGAGTCCTGATGATGATGACGAGGTTGTTTCTTGGGTCGTACTTGTTACTGGCTCTACTGAGGGTAACGGATAACTGTAGACAAAAAATACCGAGACGATATTCGAAACTTGTCCTATCTTATTTTTGTCATCTGATGCCAAAAGCGCAATGAAATACGTGATGTTGGAATTAACTCTTTGGTTGAATTGGACGCGAAAAGTTTCTGTTGCACCTGCTGGCAAGGGTGAATCAAGTTTTCCCTGGATAATATCCTTGTCAAGGAGTTTATAGGTGTTACTGAAGTTGAGTCGGAGTTGTGAGATTGAGGTGCTGTAGCGAATCATGTAACTCGATGCTGAAAGAAGGTAAATGTAAAATAAGAATTACCGGTATCTATATATAAAACAAGCGGGCCATTTAAGTTTTGCTTTGAATACTGATCATAGATAAAATCAACGTTCCTTTTAGACGGAGAAAAGTACTTTGTGATGAAGCATGCAATATCAGTGTCTTTGAAAAGTGTCTTGAAATAAATAATCAGATTTTTTTCGCAGTTATAAATCTATATCATGAAACGTGAAGTGATTATCCTTTGCTGTGCCTGTAGCATTATCGGCAAGGCTTTGATTTGCACGTATATACGTCAGTGCTTAACTTAGTCTATAATACGGAATTTTGAGTCTACCATATAACACACGTAACTTTGCATAACAATAAGTTATGACACTTTGGTCTGGTTAATATGTCTACTGAATCGGACATAATGCAAACAACTTCCTACTAACCTTTTCCTTGGTCCAGATCATCACCAGTTGCTGTCCAAGACAATGTAACAGTTTTATTCTCAGTGTTAACTGCTGCCAGCACCAGGTCGTAGATTCTGCCAGGAGGGTACAGGTCAGGTGGTTCTGAACCAGAACTTGGGAGATTCTTTACGGTGAATAAACCTCCGCTGTCGGAACGCTCGAATGGTTCTATTGGAGTGTACACAACCTCCAGCTTCCTGGCATTTGCTGCAGCTTAAAATATCAATAATTTTGCCGAAACGTTTGTTAAGTCAAAAAATTGTTTTTTTTTCCTCAAATTGCACAATAACTTAACTCTTTAGAGCAAATGAAATAAATATATATAAAAATAAAAGATTTGCACAAATGGCAACTAATGGTTTAGATGTACATGTATACATGCAAACGAATTACTTTGTCATGTTGCTTGTTGTCGCTATCTTGTGTGACAGTAAATCTGCACGTTATATCAGAATCGATCTAAAAGAACGTTGTGCATCGGTATATTTCAACATACTTGAAAAACAGCATGAATAGGAGACTTAAATGTGGTTATTTCTGGTGACAGACAATTACTACAAATGGTGACATTAGCATTCAATGTTATTGGGCAAGTTAAATATTTATCAACGAGTTGATAGCTTACTTGTGTTGGTAATGATTGGCAATCTTTGTCCACCAACCACAGACTTAACTGAAACACCTTCTTCGCCTTTCACTACAACTCGCACAGAATGCGCCCCGTCGCCTTCAAATTTCAGGAAATATGCCGAGTAGATGCCGTCGTTCTTGGTATTATCTGCGCCTTTGTGAAAAACAAAAGCCAGACATGTAAGACACATTTCTAATTATTTCTCAAAAGTATAATGTTTGCAACTTAGCAAGGTTTTAATAGCAAGCCTAGGGATATGGGTCCTGCGTAAATGTGAAAATTGGAATTCTCTATTATATTTGGGTTAAAAAGGTCGTATATATGTGATTTATGCCAACAGAGTCCACTGCAGTTTATGTCAGTTTTGGAGCTTGATAAAGGGTACACTTACTTTTTCGCACAATGTATGTTTGTAACGTTTTTTTTTTTCTTTCAAAAAAGCGTGAAATACAGACAGGATTTAATTAAGTGGGATAATAATCATGGAAGCATTATATTCAAACTGATACAATAAAGACGTATATTCACCTGCCCCGTTGTCAAGCAGTTGTAATGTGTGGGTATTCCCAGTACTTGCGTCAACATAAGCCACCACAGTGGCGCCAACTACCGGAGTGTAGCCTTGACTAACCTCTCCGTATATGGCAATGCGGGGCAAACTGGGATCTGGAACAAACATTGTACATGTCACTAGAGATTGAAGGATATACATTGGAACGGGGGATGTGGTGCTTGGCAGAAGTTACAGTCTTCAGTTGTTCAGCCTTATCAATAATAATATTTCTTGAATGGTTAAAGATACTGTAAGGGTATATATTATCATCCATGTGCAATGAATGAGGTTAATATTGCATCTGATTATTCATCAATGTATCCTCCTTTGTGCTGATTTAAAACAATTAAAATCTCCTTGAAATTTACAAAATATTGGCATTTATATTTCTCATTGTTATGTATACATGTAAGCATAGATCATTCAATGCTTTTATCGTCAATTTAACACCTTCCTATCTTGAGGTGAGATAACAATCTAGATTGTAAACGCTTAATACATAGAAACCATTAATCATGGTTATTATCATTAGATACGAAGTTACGTTCAGAGAAATTGTGCGAGGACATTTGGAGAATGAGAAAACTAATTAAATGGGTTCATTAACCATAAGTATGGGGAAATGACCGTTTACCGTATTTAGTTTGGAAACCTACATTCCATATCTTTACCTGCCATATCTACGGTATCACTGCTCACACTGGCACTCAGTACAATGGGTGCAGTGTCTGAAGAGGGACGTGAAGAGACCTGGACCATGAGTGTGTTTCCGAAACCCGGATTTGTTACAGTATAGAGCCATCTTCCCACCTGTTTTAGAAAGTACATTGTGTTAAAATATGAAAACGTCTTTTACATGTACATGTAATTTATTGGAATATTTCGTTATCAGATGGCAAAGTATTACAAAATACATGGACAGTTGACCTCGTTTACTTTCCTTTCTTTGGGCTAGGTCGCTTTTGGGATAATATGAGATGTAAAATTCAACAATAAACACATTGTAAATAACTCAGAAAAATTCAGTTTTACCACCAAAACGGCCGTAAGTGCAATTATTTTGAAATTTATGCTTGCCATCGGACCAGGTGGACTGTATAAGTGGCTCCAGTACGAAATGATATTTTAAATAACTTAGACTTAATTCTAATTGGGATCGGATTCATTTACCATTTAAAAGTACGGGAAAAATCGAGTTTGCTGCAGGAAATCCTTTTATGGCACCTTTTCCGCCAAAAATAAACATTTGTCACCCCTTTAACTTAAAATCATCCCATTTCACAAGTCACCGTCTCTAACATTTTTCTGTAGGTGTGTCGATCGAACATTAATAGCAATACGCATAATTTTACTAAAACTGAAATATTTCATCAATTTAGTATAAAGCCCTACCTGTGTAGTGCCGTTTATATCAATACTCAGTACTCCGGACCCACTGCCCTGCGTTAAGGTCACATTGTCAGGTGCTCTCAATGTCACAGTGATCGAACCAGTGCTCCATGTGAATAAAAACCGCGTGTTGTTTCCAATAGTACTGTCAATATATATGGAACCTTCAAAAGAGCTACCTCCACCGGGGACTGTAAACGATTCTGACAGTATCTGAAATTGAAATATATATTTTAACATGAACTACTACGCAAGTCAATAAGGCAGTTTGGTAGCATATTGAGAGCAGTTGGACCTATCAAAGAATGACCTGATACTCAGTAATCTATTGCTAATAAAACTTTAGATATTCCCTATATGTTGATAAAAGATACAGTATCGTTCGTCTTCTAGCTCTGTATCCTCCCCAGGAAGGCGAGAGCGTCATCAACCAGTCCATATATCTTGACCAAAAGTGACCAAGCCTATAGGCATCCACTTTTTTCTTTCTTTTATGTACAACTTCAACCCAATGGGTTGCAATACTTATTGTTTATTTGTTATTATTATTATTTATAATACATGCTCTACAAGGCCAACGATTTACCTGAACTAGAACATCTTTCTGGCCGCTGTTTCTCTGTGTAATAGTCTTAGACAAGGAGTCCGATAAAGAAGTAGATAGAGTATTTCCTGTTTCAAAGAATGACAGGCCTCCAGTGTCTTTAGCTAACGATATCAGTCGTGCATCAGCTGATGCCGTAAAAAGTAAGGTATCTACCAAGACCCCCTTCAATATCAGGTCTGGTTTAACATCGGCAATTCGTGGATCCTGATTTTCCTCTCCATCACTAACAACGACCAAAATGCCACCAGCCGCTAGCATGTGGTTGTATTCTAACACCTGGTTGAATACAAATCAGCATTTATCAGTAGATGGGTCCGGGTAGGAAAACTAAAAATACTCAGATACTAGAGTATATTCATGTACGTGTACATTTAAATATCAATACTGGTGTCTTATGCACAACTACTGTAAATGAGATATTCAAAGTTAATGTAGAAGCAAAATTGAGCAAAAAACATAAATTACTATATTTGAACATACTTGTACAGGTAAACGATAACAAAAATTGTAAGGGTAATATTGACAACATCACAAAAGTGGCATTGTGTCCGTTATTATGTACTGGTTGTATTTTTACAACTATGATCACTACTTGATATATCCCTATATACATGTATAAACCGCCTAATCAAACAACAAAATATGGTATCGACCTACATTTATGCCTTCTCGAAGACCACAACCAATGCATGTCCCTCCCCCGGCAGTTAGTCCATTAACAATGGAAACCATGTTTTCTCTCACTGATCTAGAACTCATAGTCGTTAGATGCTTCATTATGGTAGTGGTATATTCGTAACTAAATTTAACTATGCCAACTTGGCTATCTTCGGCAACAGTGTTGAGTAGGAACTCTGCACACGCCTTCTTCAGGTTCACCAATTTGTTGTCCTAAATTGTTGATTAAAGTCTGGTTAAGATAAGGACAACTATCTAAAATACTTCTCAAGTTTATATAAGAAGGGCTTTCCTTTTTTCTTGGTTTGCTTTATCTATTTACTGAATAATTGTCGTGTCGGCCCTGTCTTGATCAATTGTATGTGCGGTGAACAGCGAGCGTGAAGTCACAGCAGCATTTATTGGGGCCATAATAAAATTGGGCAGATTATCAGTACACAACTGACATAAATTGCAATTGGGTGAGTGTTGATGCATTTTACTAATTCATACAAGTTAAATAAAATAACAAGTTGTGTGTGCATATGTTTGTATGTGCGCGTTTTGACCTTAAAAGAATTAATTTGCACGGTTCAAAAGACACAGGACACTTACATCCGCCATACTTCCGGAAACGTCGAGAACCAGTACATATCTCTTTGGCTGCTGTTGAACCACTTTGAAAGTGGGAGTTGTATCTATGTCTGTATTAGTGGATACAGGTGGATTATGATCTGAAGCAATGGAATTTGAATACCCCTATATTAATATTCTGTTCATTCTTTTTAAGGAAAGCTGGATGTTATGTTTAAAATATTCTTCTCAATTGCTTGTGAAGAACGTAGATCTGTGACTTCTTTTTTTTTTAACAAAATCTATAATATTTTGAACAATTTTTCAACTAATTTTCATTTCAACCACAAAATCGTAAATAATATTCTAGTGGATTGTCAGTATTACTATTTATGTAGACTTATATAATTTACTTTTCTGTTTCAGATAGCGATCATTGTCAAGTTGGACCACTAAACGTTAAATGTACAGTGTACTTATGTATGATCGCTATCCACTACCTGACAACATGCCGGTGGTCCAGTGCCCAATAGAAGGCTGTGACTACACCACGGATGACCTTGATGCCACTATCGTAGCAGCCCTACTCACCACACATAGCTCTCTTCATACCAACGCCCCCGTAACTGCAGCCAAAGTGGAGAAAGTCAAGCGGTCCACAATATCAGCCTGCTGTACCAGGGAAGAGTGGTCATACTTTCAGTCCAGATAGACAGAGTATGCCGATGCAACAAAGATAGCTGGCAAAGACACTGTTATCCAATTGCTGGAATGTTGTGATGACCTCTAGTGAAAAGACCGAACCAAGACAGCATGTGGGAGCCTCGTGAACAAATCCATTAATGAGGTGATGGCCGCAATCAAGACATTAGCGGTACGCACAGAGAACACAATGGTGGCTAGAGTGACACTACAGAACATGCATCAAGACAGAGATGAACCTGTCCGCAACTATGGTGCCCGTCTAAAAGGCAAGGCAGGAGTATGCACATTTTCTGTATCATGCCCCAGCTGCAACACTGCTTTAAGCTACATGGAGGAGATGACTCGTGATGTTCTAACCCCTGGACTGGCAGACTATGAGATCCAAATAGACCTTCTAGGGGATAAGAACCAGGACATGGCATTGAAGGAAGTCCTCCAATTTGTGGAAGCAAAAGACGCAAGAAAGCGCTCCGCATCACACTTACAAGAATCCCAAGCAGCTGAGGCCATCGGTAGCACTTACCGACCCTAGGACCCCTGTAGCTACTGCAGAAAAACTGGCCATGGAAAAGCTGCCCCTTTACGCATTCGCAAGAGAGATTGCCCCGCCTTTGGGCACAAATGCCAGACCTGCACACGATACCACCACCTTGAAGTAGTGTGCCGTAGCAAAGATAAACCCAAGCTGAGCCAGGAGACTACTTCCTGTCATGAGGCAGATGATTGTGAAGGCCCAGTCACTTGGGTGTGAAGAGCTTCCAAACCACAACTGTTTGTCAACTTCAGAATCACTGTCTGTGCAGATGATTACAGAGAGCTAGGCTTCAGCTTACTATCCTCAGCCATACCAATAGAACATCCCTCAATGGCTGACATTGGTTGTCAGAGCTGCCTTGCTGGCATTAAGGTACAGGACCTGATCCCAGTCACTATGAAGATGCAAACTGTTGTCAACAATGGCATCAACATTCTTGGACCAACCATCCTTCACTATGCTGGGAGGGGCCCATCTGGCAAACTGGTGGAAACAAGAGGAATGACTTATGTCATCGATGACAAGCTCTTTATCAGCAGGAGACATGTATTGCACTTGGCATCATACCAAAGACCTTCCCGACTGTTGGTGCATATCACATGTCGCAGTGTGCATCTGTGTCCCCTGACATTACCCTTAAAGCACGTGGCGCTGATGCCCCACACACATGCACTTGCCCCAAACGTCAGCCAACATCACCCTCTGTCTCAAATCCGATCCACTGCCCCAATCAGGCCCTTACCCTTGAAATGGGAAAAGTCTGGGACCGTGGTTAAAGTACGGCAGTTCGATCAATATGTTGTGAGAGTAGATGGAGTAGTAACATTACAGAACAGGAAATTCCTACACTCCTGTCCTGCAACCCACACCAATCCTGACCATAGGCCGTGACACACTCCCATGACACACAAACGCAGTGTGAAACCCCGCCGCCACTGACTGTACCACCCATACCTCAACTGTTCAACGCACCTTCACCCGCCACAGATATGCCGTCACCCGAAAGCGCCGCCTTCTACCTTTAGGGAATGCAACTCCATCCAGGTCTGTCAGTGTTAGCACACGTGTTTGCACCACTAGATGCATCTTCCAAAACTATCTTGTGACTTCCGATGATGTTATTTTCGGACCTATAATCATCGTACTTGAGTTCCTTGGTTATCCCACCACTTGTCTTACTCCTATTACTTTGTCTTACTCCTGTTACTGTTCTTACTCCTATTACTTTGTAGTTTACTTGTTTTCTCACACTAGTGACCTCTCATTGAAACATTTCAGTCTTTCTACTGACTTTGGTTAACAGTGGACCTAAAGACTTGGGGGAGATATAGGATTACTATTTATGTACTATAATTTACTTTTCTGTTTCAGATAGCGATCATTGTCAAGTTGGACCAATAAACGCTAAACGACAAATAGTACAGTGTACTTATTTTATTACTACCACTAGCTTTTTATAAAACCTGAACCTTACTGTTCCTAAAATCTTCGTGTTCCCTCATGACTTCCCAGGCACTCCTGCCGCCACAGAGTCTGTTCTGCCTGTTAGGGGCCTGGTCGTTATGTTGGTCAAGTGAATCTGTCTCATCGTTGTCACAGAACCCGATAACCTGCAGTGATAAATATGTATCTCAATATCTTGACAGCACTGGATGGGTGAAGAAACATCACTAAAATAGTAGATAGTGCTATAGATATATCCTCTTTTGAAAATATCACTTATTATGACATCTCACCGATTTTATAACTAAAATATCATTTTCAATCAAACAGAGTCCATGAAGATGTAACATATCTCCCCTATGCAAATTTCTTTCATCCGAAATACAATACATTAAAATGTTTCATCAGTCGCGTTTGACTCAATAGACAAAGAAGTAGCAAAAAAAAAAAAAAAAAAAAAAAGGGTAAAAAGTTTCAATTACATATCCTGTGTCTATTAAAAAACTTTATATGCTAAGCATGTTTTGGCTTTTGGCCTTTTGAGTTGCATGATCTTTTTATCTTTATTCCAGCCCCTACCAAAATCTGTCTCATTTAACGCTCACTTACGGATCTCAATCTGTTCTAGAACATGTTTTTCTCTTTTAATGAAAAAAGCTTTTAATCTGCTCTAGGGCATTCGATAGGACTTTCCAAAAACAGTTCTCGAACTGTTACATATATTACAGAACAACATTAGAACTGTTAAAAAATACCCCAAATATTATAGATTGAGGACTGTAAGTGAACGTTAAATGAGACATATTTTTGCAGGGGAGGATAAAAGACAAAGTGGTATCGTCCTGCACTTACAGATGTCACATAATGGTGTGACATGATAGAGGTGGTTCCCACGTTGTTGTATACATCAGGGGCAAACCTGCAACCACTTTCTGGGAGGTTGGTTTCATTATCCGGGTTGCAATTCCACACGAAACCGTCGTTAACTCTCTTATAGTCCTTGCCCGTCACTCCCCGGGAACAGCGTACGCCTTCTATTCTCTCAGAAATAGAATCGTGGTAGAAGTGAGGATCATTTTCGTCCACCGGGTACTCGTCAAACAAACCCCAGCGCAAATGTCCCCACTCATGGAGGACTGTCTTGGCTGAAATATGAGAGAGAGAGAGAGAGAGAGTGGTGAAGATACAGTGACCAAATATACTGTTGTCAATGTTTTATATTTACCAGACTCTCCTGTCAGAACTTTTATGGCAATATTGTATTTTTTCATAGGGGCCATTCCCAGACCCTATCGTACTAACTGTAGATTGATCTATCCCTAAGAGGATTGTCGCTAAATTGTAATCAACTGAAGCGGCTTAGATATCTGGCACACCTACTGTAGCTGTTAGGGGGTAGTTAACTACCA